ACCTTTTGCTGGGTCAGTCAGGGGTCATCTAGATATATATCATGATCATGTAACTTATTCATCACATAGAAAAAGGCCTGTTCAGTTACATGACTACCTATATCAATTTGAATGCCAGTCATCATGCTCATGAAGAGTTCCATGAAGTCTTCAAAGCCAGTTATTTTAATAGAGAGAATTTCAATGCATGAGAGCTTATGCTTGTTAACATAGAATTGAGAAATAAGACCATAGATATTACATTCACTGTCTATCATTGCTCTAGTTGAAAGATATTATCTACTAAAGCATCAACAGTAAAGGGTTTGAATATCATTTTAGATTTAAATCTTCTTCATTGCTTCTTCATAAGCTTCTTATTTCACTTCTTTCAGTGTCTTTTGATTAAAGCTACTCTTTTTCTGAATCCTCACTCATATTCATATTGTTGTCATCCAGTACCAGCTTAAGAATCATCTTAGCTATCATGAGAGTGGTAGAATGTCTGAGAGATTTAAATAGATAGCTCTTAATCATATGATCTCTAGCTCTGCATCTCAGGCACAGGCCTTGCTCTCTTCATTGATTAATCTCTGTCTGATTTATCAATTTGATGTAGTGAGTACTTAGGATCACAGCATCAGAAGAGAGATTCATCAGATCATCAGCAGAAGCTTGAGATCAGTTTCATTGATCAAGAACAGCATGATGAAGTGAAGAATGTGAATTAGATATTGTATGATCTGAAGAAGATCTGCTCACATGATGTTTAGATCACTGTTTTAAAGTTTTAAGCTCAGAGAGTTGATGATCAACTAATCTAAGCTTCTTGCAGTAATTCTTGTAGAGAGATAGTTCTCTTACACCCATCATGCCTTCCCTCAGCTCTATGCTTAGGGTAGATTTCAAATACTCCTTTTTAATATGATCATCTCATTCATGACCACTAGCTTCCAGCAGTAGCTGATTAAATTCAGAGAGAAAGTCAAAGATAGCTCTTCTACTCTGTCATAGATTGTTAAGCTTTTGCATAGCCTTTTTCTATCATGCAGAATCACTAAAGAGCATGTGTGTCTGCTTCAGTAAGCTCTCTATTATGAAGTTGATCTTGTTCTTATTATTCTCAACTCAGAGATAAATTCAAGCTGCTGCCATTATTTCCAGTCTTGAGTACACATATCAAGTACATTTCTTATTATTATCTAAAGCTTTCCCATCAATCTTAAGTTTTGATTGAAGCTTTATCTCTCACTGAGGATAGTGCTTTAGATTAGAATCATCATACTTCTTGTAGTTCAATAGTCTAATCTTTGATCTTCTGACTGCAATGAGTGATTGCAGATTCAATTGAGAAAGAGTTGATGTTGAGATGTTCAAAGCTTGTTATAGATTAGCTATTTCAGCTTGCTGAGCTGCTATTACATTCCTGTTCTTATGCTGGACCTGTTTCTGCTGTTGGAGAAAGATCATCCATTGTTGTGCTGAAGGTGTCCCTGCTTATTGCTTTGTGTTAATTCATTTATATATTCATTGTACAAGTCTGCCATTTTATTTCATTCAGCTAGACATTTTCAATGTTGCTCATTCATTTGTTAGCATAATTGCTAACCCAGTCTATTCATATATCAATGCTATCACTGAACTTCATGATATAGAATTTAAGACTCTCAATAGTCTGTCATATATCAGCACATTTGCTGAGCTTCATGATACAAAATTAAGGCTCTCAGTGACCTATCAATGAAAGGAGTGAAGCAATTTGTAATGTAAAAGGTTAAGCTCTAAGAACTAGAGGCTAGTCCTCCTATATAACAAGGATAAATTGCTTGGGAAAGGGAAGAAAAGAATGAGATGAGAACACAAGTTTAAGCAAGCTCGCGTAGCATGATCATGTGCGCACATGCAAATGATGGCTAGGCTGAGTCAGCCAGCCAGAGCGAATCTAGGGGTTCAGCCCCTTATACATTTGAGAGTAAAATATCAAGTATTTTCAATTTTATAATAACATCATTAAACTTATTGAAAAACATATGTATGTTAGTGACTTGAACACTACTCATTAATGTAAATATCAGGACTGCTTTTCTGCAGAGCTGTGTTCTTGAAATGAAGAACTTCTTCTTAATCATATATCAAAGAGAATAAGTGATTCTGTCTTCATCATACTTATTAAAATAAGGCCTAATGCTGGCTGCCAACATGTTTAAAATGAATGTGTAAAGCCAGTGATTTTTGATTTCTCAAAAAGAAGCTTATTCAGAATCTTCATCAGGGCTTTTGACTTGCTTGTCCTTCAATATAACCTAGCATTGAGCATCAACTAGCTTGGCCTTCATATTTACATACTAGAAGAGGTAATTCAGAGATCTGACTAAAGCATTCAGCTTGATGGCATACTTAGTATTCTGTTTGAACTGGCTGATTGCCTTGCTGACGCAGCTATCTGAATCATAGAGATTATATTGTATTCAAGACCTCAAGTTCAGATTTCATGCTGATGATTGACTCACTGATGGATTTGCAGGCATCGCAGCTCTATCATTCTGAGTGTGAAGCCTGTTCAATTGAAGTTGAAGCTGCAATTCTTTGCATCTCTTTTTTTGAAGTTCTAAATCAATCTTTTGACATTTGAGATCTAATCTTCTCAGTTGCAATTCTTTAGAATCAGTTGCTAGTGATAGATTAGAGATTACTGCAGACATCTTCATCTCATCTTCTGAAGAAGTCAGATCAGCATATTCAACATAATGTAGGTGGACTGGCCTCACTGTGATAGAGATTATAATCAGTCTGACTTGCTGATTGAGTGTTTTGAAAGGTCTAATATTAGAACTCTTGAACATATCTAAGAGAGTCAGTGGGATTAGAGCCCCCTGATCATTTTCAGATCAGTCAGATTAGCTGAATTGACTCAATCATGACTGTGAGTGAGTCATCATACATTTCATCATGTTGTATTAATCTTCTTTATAACAGAGTAATTTTATTCAGTGAGATTCTTGCCTATAAGCTTGATTGAGTAGATTGACACATTCTTGTGCAATCAGTCACTGAAAAATTAATGAGTTGCAGATTTTTTCACCTGCTAAGTGAACAGATTGAACACAAAAAAAAAATAATAATATAAGAGTACATCAAATCAATCAATTGATATAAAATAAGACAATATTATATTGAATGAAGTGAGCAGCAATTAATATATACTATATTTGACAAGAATTCTCTGAATTGGCAGTTATTTGTGTAAAACAGATCTCATAACCTGTGAAGGATAGATTGCTTGATTGATTATGAAGTGATCACTAGCTATGCAGAAGTTATATACAGTGTGAATTATATAAGAAGGTGGATAGGCCTGATAGATCTTACTATCAGCTCTAAATTTACTCTAGAAAACTGTGAAAATATAGAGAAAGTATCTTTGAAAGAGAAATGAAAAGTTAATTTAATTTGATATGAATAAAAGTGAATCAATACACCTTTACTGTAAAAAATTGAAGAAGACAGAACTACTACTCTTCAAGATAAAGTTATTGAATCTCAAAAACTCCGTGAGATGACTAGAGATTTGATTAGATTCAAAGCTTAAATTTAAAGTTCACATTATAAAATATTAGCTCAGGCTGAAAGAACTTTAAATAGTTAGACTTTCAAATACTGAAAGAGAACTGTCTTTTACTGAACTAAATGGTATAACTGTGTATTCTGTGATATATCTGATTAAATACTATATTATTCTAGGATGGAACTATATAATTGTGAGTTTTAAATTGTGTATCTAAATCAAATTTACAAGATAGCAAATTCTAATATAACTAAGTAGATATTATTTGGATACCTGACTATGGTACGATTCATGAACCTAATTCTGCCTGTGATACAGAGATAATGCGAGAGGAGTGGGATGGTAGTTAGCGGATGAATATTTCTGGCTATTCCTGTGGACACTTTAGCAACTGGGCGCCCTTCCACGTCAGAAATTTGTCTACAATTGCAACAACATGGCTGAGGAAAGGGATTGCTATATAGGGGAGCAGTCATCATGTTAGACTACATGGCAAAAAGGCCCAATCTCCAGGAGTCTAAACTGGACAAAGGACGAGTACAATCCCATAGGAATCACTTTGATCCCTAACACATAAAGCAGTTTGGTTATGGCTCATGGATACATTAACGTGCTCATTTCTTCAATCATCATCTCTGCCCCTCATGGGCATTCAGACTCCGATGCAACTTTACTTAAACGATTCATGACGCTACCTTTAGATGTAACTCTCTGACAGGGCAAGTAGATTTTCGTCAACTCTGCTTCGTTACCCTCTCCCCGGCTATTCAGGGAGCGCATTTATTGGTAACATACAACCATATTGTTCTCAGGACTCGAAACCTGTGGGATGGTTCAATCTCCTCTTCGGATGAAAGGCTAGCTAGACTTTCTATATACACCAATCACGTCCGGCGGGACGGCTGCCAAAAAGCTCTGAACGCTGGCAGCCGTATTGGATGCTTCGGGAGATAGTTCATCAAACCCCAACTTGGTATATCTTATAATCCCTATCCTGCTATGGTCAGTTTGATTTAGACAATCTTGGAGTACTTGCTAAACATACCTATAATTCAGATAACCTAAGAGAGATAAATAATGAATGATGTCAAAGAATACAAAACTTATAAAGGATCTCATACAAAATGTAAGAATTCAACAAGTTACCGATTCTGTTAATAAACTTGAATGGTTAACGTCGTGGTAACCGAATTATCTCGACGATCAGATCCCAACCGTGGATGAGGTGCATATTAGGGGGTTTCAACCATACACGTATATATAGTTGTGGCGTTTTTTGGGTGGGTGTTTTTAAGGGCTGCAGCGGTCGCTCTGGGAGCGACTTCATCGACTGCTGTTTGACAGAATGAAACTTCCTATATGAGGATCCTGAAAGCCCCAATCAACTTCGCTGACTAGGAATTCTGCTTCTTCAATATTCCCATACACCATCGCCGTCATCACCATCATAACCATCATGAAGTTCCTTTCTTTGACCTTCCTTGCTCTATTTTCTGTGCTGGCAGGGCAAGGAGCACAACTAAGAGTACGGGCAGCATCGGAACCGTCACCTGTAAGTCATGAGCCGTCCTCCAACTTAAGTGGATTCTTGACAGGATATGCGGCTCAATTTCCCATAGGATGAGCAGGATATTTTTGAGGTTTTCCGCAACCTCCGCATGCATCACCTCGGTTTCATACATGTCGGTAATGATGGTGTGGCTCGATCTGTCGACGGAAACGGAACAGTGATTGATTTTATTCCAATGTCCAATGCGCAATTGCAGAAGACTGCAAAAATCTTTGTTCAAAATGCAACGCAACATGATCACTTGAGGGAACTTTGGAAAGACGTTAGTGGTCATGACGTTGAAAACCCGCTTATTTGGCGCAGAAGAGGCCCTCCTCTAGAGCCTCCTCAAGATCCAAAACACTTTAAACGCCAAAGCCCAAACATTCAATGTCATGACCTTAAGTGTAGCAACAACATTTTCTGTCATACAGTTGGTTGTCGTCAATGCATTATCCCGAATATGTCCAGTTGGGGTCGTTGTACTAGTTAGAAGTGTGCGGGTGTTGGGAAATCAAAACTGACTTAGAATAATTAGTATAGGTTTTAGTAGTTTTCATGCTGTGTTCATCGGGGAGATTCCCATCCTTCATTCACATCTTTCAAATGTGTTTGTTTAGAAGCAACTTTGTGTGAACTATGGGAAGCACCCGAGAGACAAGCTGCGGCGCAGGAGGCAGAATGAGGAACCTGACTCTTTTGCGGGGTGACCAAGTTTGGGAGAAGCCAATGTAAATAACCAGCGTCTTTCTCGCCAGGGAATTTCCTTTCTCAGATTGTCCCTTATTGGTGGTCCAACTTCCCCATGCATTCTCGCATATATATATATATATATATATTCTCTGGTTGGTCGAAGAGAGGTAACATAACGTTCATGTGATTCCCCTAGTCCCTTGCGCCGACCGTAAGCGCAACAGCCGTTGTATTACATAGACAACACTGTCAGCACAATAAACAAGTAGTTAAATGGTCTGCAAACATTTCATTCTTCCTTCTGTGTGCTACATACATACGTATTTTGGTCATACTACCCGGGTAGAGCAATCTTGGATCACTGATACCGTGTCGCGTCTTTCCTTCGACAGATGTATGTTAGTTGTGTCTCAGAGGAAGTTCACTCTTGCTCAGCACACATAGGTAGGTTGTTGACCAAACCAGCTGCGTGAGAGCGAATAGGGCTGCCAGAGACATTAAGAATCTGTCAGGCCTTTTTTAACCAAAGAACCCCTAATGCCGTGGCTTGCTTTTTATTAGCCTCTTGGTGCCCAGCAAGTAGCTTGCCAGCAGGGTTGGCAGGATGATTTAACGCTTGGCTTGCATGGTTGCACTCCTAAGTTAGATAGTTATGTGTGGCTGAGCCGCAGCAAACACCTGGGCTATGATTAATGATTGATTGATACCGGTCTGTGCCTCTGGGGCGGGCAAATTTATTTCGTCGGGCTTTTCCAACCACTCAGGAAACCGGGGAATCTTCCGTGAGCAACTCTCTGCAGACGTGGCATCTGGAGGAGAACCCTCTGGTAAGAGCAAAACATCACAAGGCCGACTGCCACAACCCAATAGCCGTTCAAGACGTGCTTCAGTTGACTGCTAAGTGCGCCAACATTTGGTGGCGGGAGGAATTTTTCTAGAAATCTTCCAAGTCTCTGGCCTTCCTTTCTTTTAATTCTCCGAGTCTTCTCGTGTTATTACTCTCTTCTTCCAAAATCTTTCGCAGCCCGCGTCATCAGCTGCTGGTCTACGGAGCAGGTTAGAGTCTCTGTAGCCTACAGATTAGTTATGTCTACGAATAACGGCTTTGGGCCCCCTCCACCCCCCTACAGTTTTGTAGGCTCTTCGCGACTCTCACCCCCCCAATCTGTTTGTCCTTCGCTTCCAGCATATCATGCTGGACTCTCCTTAGGCTATGGAGGGCCGTCACCTAGTCAATTACCTAACCCTTTGCTGAGCGGGGGGTTTCCAGGAGTTCTACAGACTATTAGACCACCCGTGCAACAACCCCCGTCAATGACAACTGATGACCAATTTTTATGTCAGAATGAGACAACGGCTGTCCAAAGACCTGAGTTTGAGCTCCGGTAAGTATAGGTAAAATACGCGCAATATCTTTTCCTTCGCTCCTCTGAAGCCCTTTACCCAATTCCCACGCTGACGAGGACCCAAATCTATAGCCCAGAAGACGTCGTGGTTCCAATAATGGGAATGATTGGTGCGGGGAAAAGTACTTTTGTTTCCCTTTTGGCTGACTGCCAAAACGCTGCTCTTGGACATATACTCAAAGGATGTATGTTCGTTGTCCTGCTCAATACCTGCCGGTCTCCTGCGGTCGGCATTCACTAACACCAAACATAGCTACGAGGGATGTCGAGGTATATCCATACCAGGTTGATAGGAAAACAAGAGTGCTTCTTGTCGACACACCAGGGTTTATTGGAACCAACAGAAGTGACATTAATACGCTCCGTTCCGTAGCAAACTTCTTCTGCCTGACTTTCTCCAACAACGTTAAGACGGCCGGCATAATATACTTACACGACATAACAGCCAAACGGATGGATGGCGCCGCAAAACGTAACTTGCGCATGTTGAGAAAGCTCTGCGGCGCCACTAATCTATCTAAAGTGATCATGACCACGAATAAGTGGGGAAACTTGGGCGAGTTACATGACGGGGTCAGCCGCGAAAAGCAGCTACGAGACTGTTACTGGAGAAGCATGCTCAGTCGTGGAAGTACGGCCATGCGCCACACTGGTAGCAGGCGGTCAGCAGAGCAGATTGTGAAAGCCCTTCTGCACAAACGACAGCCCATAGTCCTCGAAATCCAACGAGAAATGGGGTTACACAACCAACAGCTGAGCAACACGGCTGCAGGCCGAGAACTGTATGCGGATATGGAAAGGGATAGGCAACGATACGCCGGCGAACTCGTGGCATTGCGGCAGGAGTTCGATGAGGCGCTGCGGCGGAAGGATTCTGAGTATGGTCACGCGCTGCGGGGGACCAAGGCACAGCTGCAGGAGAAAATCGAGTTGCTAGAGGAGAGAATGAGGGCCCCGAGGGTGGATTTCCACCGCTTGAAACCTGAGACGAATGAGCGGGAGTTGGGGAAGAAGAAGAATTTCGGGCGGACGGCTTTGGGGATTGGTGTGGGTGCTATACTCGGTTTGACGACGGGGATTTTTATTTAATGTTTTAGTTAATATCTTTCTTTGAGCCGTTTATGCAAGGTTGATTCTTGTGATGAATATTTTAATTTAGTGCGAGAAAAAGAGTTTTTCCTCCGCAGGTCGGACTGGCATTGTTGGGTGTTCTGGCAGGGAACGAAGCTCATTCAAACCACAGGATGGTTTATATGATGATATTGAAAAGATATGCCGGGGTTATTTCCGACGACGATTAAATACGATATTGTTGGTTTATAATGAAATAATAAATTAGGACACTCTTAAGACGTCAAATTCGACATCCAATTCAACTCCCAGCAATAGTCTTAGGAATAGAGGTATCATAGGTCATTTTAATTTGTCTTATACTAGTGTTTGAAGCTACAGAAAGAATTACTGTAGAGAGTGCGTGTGTAAATTATAATACAACATAGGAGTAAATCTTACATATGCTCCAGAAATCCCGACCAACTCCATAATCAAGTAATATAGACAAGAGTGCGACAATGATATTGCATCACAACGCGGTGCCCTCAACCCTGAGAATCCCACGTTTCGGGCACACAAAATAGAAGAATTGCCGTCAAAACGAAGTGTATGAAGAGTGGAGACTCAAAAGGAAAGTCTTGTGGTTTACTCTCCCAGGCATTACTCCTCTTTAGTGTTAAGTGGTTTCCCTTCCCTCTTCCAATCCTTTATATGAGCAAGAATGGTGTTGGCTGCGGTTTCTGCAGTGTCTTGGCGTCCGATACATTCAATGAAATCTCCATCCGGATCTACGAAGAAACGGAGGTTAGTTCTATATTTCCAGGTGACCAGGGTAAGGAAACCAGGGATAAAAATCCCAGATATCAATCCAGGGAGGATATGATAGAACACACGACATACCCATTAGGTAGAAATAAATGCTGTGGTCCACAAGATAATCCTCTCCAGGTTTCACGTTGTCCGGCGTGCTGAAATAGACGCGATATTGTTTGCACACATGCTTCACCTGCTCGTACGTGCCCGTCAGGCCTATAATACCCTTGTGGAATTCCGCTAGGTATTTGCGCAGCACTTCGGGGCTGTCACGGGCTGGGTCGCAGGTAATGAAGATGGGCCGGAAAACAGATTTGTTGCTCGATCTAGATTTTACAAGATCGATTATCTCGGCCATTTTGTCGAGTTCATCTGGGCAAATATCCGGGCAATGAGTGAAGCCGAAATAAATCTGCAAGGACGTAGGAGTGTAAACAGGTGTCCATTTAACATACCCTCCCCAAGGGCAATTGGAAAGGAAACTAAATGAAAATATAAATGGAAATGGAGCACCCACAAAGCTGTATTTCCCCTTCAGTTGTTCGTCCGTGAATACATTTCCATCCAAATCCTTGAGGACGAACGGTCCGCCAACTTTCGGCCTGCCCACACCTTTGCTCATCTCAACAATCCTCTTACGATTAAGCCTCTCTTTCTCATAACTAAAGTAAAATATCATCGTCACACCCGTTGCGATAAATAAGATTGCAGCTTTCCATGAGAATGGGCCCGTTGAGGCGCGAGCTTTTAATTGCTGAATGGTTTTGGCTTTTCGGCGGGATGAGGAGGCGGAAAATGAATTAGCATGTGGTTTCGATCGTATCAATAATGGAGACAATCGTAATCCGGACCGAGGATAGTAAGTTTGTAACGCTTTTCCGCTGGAATAGTATGATCTGGTTGGTATAAGCGGGGAGTGAGACAAGGCGGACGTGGATGTTCTGTGAAGGAACGGGGATTGGTGGGAGGCATGTCGCATCCAGCGAACGAGAAAAGAAGAGGAAGATGAGGTCATTATTACGCTGTCAGGTTTATTTCCAATTTAAAGGTTTAAAAAGGAACAGAATTGGAGGTTTTTGTCTAGCAATTGGACAACAATTGCAAGCTGCGGTCGATGATGAGACAAAAACTGCGAAGGGATTGGCATATCACGTGAACGGACCTCTGATGACTTATCGGACTGCGACCCATTTTTAAATGTCACGATGAGCAAACGATATATAAGCTAGCCGGTCTATATTTTGACCAGACCCTTTTTCAACCACTTTATTCAAACCTAACTCACCACCTTTACCACGCGTTTTCTCAACCACATTATTAAAATGAAGTCTAATAATGAAACTGCTATAGCTGCTGCTATAGAGGATTTAAAAAATGATGTTTTTCAATCTGAATGAGCCATTGTTAAAGCATATAACATCTCATGAAGCACATTAAAGAGTAATTACTCATCAACATTGACAAAAGTTGACTTCAGAGCAAGAGATCTTTCTAGTTCAATGAATAAAAGAGCAAGATTTGCAAGGATTTCCATCCTCTCACACATGTGTATGAGAAATGAAGACTCAAATTCTATGAATGAATCAAAATTCCATTTAATTAAGAATTGAATAAAAAAGTTTTTAAAATGAAGTCCTATAATAAGATCTGTGATTGACTAGAGGATTGAGTCTCAAAGAATCAAGAATACTCAATAGAAAATACTTCAGCAGTTCTATAACTACTTTTCTGAGACACAACAGACTTATGAGATAGTTACTGAAAATATACAAAATATGAATGAGTATGACATTGCTTTAGAAGTATGTATGAACATTTTTACGGCGCAGCTGCTTGTATATGGATTAAGGTTGATCCGCCCTGATACGCTTTCAAGGTTGATCCATTTTGACCTCAATCATATTCAGTTGTTTAGATTGATCCAATCTGATCCCCAACCACCTCTATATATTGGGCTGCTCGTTCATTCTTCATTCTAATCCTCAGTTTAGTATTCTCGTCGCAGCTGCCTAGTTAGATAGATGAATTGAAGCTGTTGTCTTGTTATCATCCTGACTCTAATTGAGTTATGACAAATATCAAAGTACTTACTGAGCAAAGAAAAGGTAAAATCTATGTTAAATCTCTCTCTAATTGCAAGTGAGTTTCAATTCTTGAAGCTATTAGTGCTGATAAGCATTATATAGACTCTTTAGTCATTTTTCAAGATCAAAATGCACACTTTAATTGATTTGAGAATGTAAATATACTCAATTAAATCTATACAATATTAGAAAATTAATAAACATTAAATAATATATGTCTCAACTGATTATATATGATTTTTCTATCTCAAATATTTAAGAAAGGTCAGTATAGATTATTAGTGCTAAATGATCATGACAGTCACATCACTATTAAATTTCTATGAGAATATTATATAAATTTGACTTATTTAGTGTTTCTATCTGCTCATACATCTTATGTTCTTCAGTCATTGAATTTTGAAGTTTTTTCACTTATAAAGAGCTATTATAGAGCTGAGATCATTGTCTTAAGCTATCTAAATAATGCAACTCTTATGAAGAAAAGAAGATTTATATAAATTTATAAACAAGTATGTTTAAAGGTTTTAGAATCTTATAATATACATGAAGAGTAGAAAGCAGCTGGTCTAGTACCATTTAATCCTTTCAAAAAATTAGATTTCTCTCAGGTTCAAGATCAGAGTCAATCTAATTTTATGCCAGTGATATCAACAATTTCTATATCTTCTGAACTGCAAGATCTCTTGCTTACAACCCACTGAGATTCTTAATATATATATAAAGCTCTGCAGCAGTTGAATAAGGAGAGAATTCTTACAAGAAAGCAGTGAGTTTTTCTTTGCAAAGCTAGCAAGTTGATTGATGAGTTGAATGCTCTACAAGCTATCAATCAGTCTATAATTTTTAAACTCTCTAATCAACTAGAAATCCTACAGCAGTCAAAAACCAAAAAGAAGGCGGAAGTTGATCTAAATACCTGATTTATCAATATAGAAAGGATTAAAAAGGCTCAAGAGGAAGCTGCTGCTCTAGAGACTAGGAAACAACTACAGAAGCCAGAAATTGAGACTATAAAAGCAGCAGTAGCAGCTTTAGCAGCAGGTCTGAAAGCCTGCATGTTTGAATGGCAATTAGATTGAATTTGTAGTTAAATATTTACTCAAATAGGAAGAGGGGTTGCTTTGGATAGGGGGGTTGAAAAAGGGTCTGGTCAAAATATAAACTGGTGTAAAGAGTTAAGCTCTAAGAACTAGAGGCTAGTCCTCCTATATAACAAGGACGAATTGCTTGAGAAAGGGAAGAAAAGAATGAGATGAGAACTCGAGCTTAAGCAAGCTCGCGTAGCATGATCACGTGCGCACGTGCGAACGATGGCTAGGCTGAGTCAGCCAGCCAGAGCAAATCTAGGGGTTCAACCCCTTATAACTGGCTAGCTTAGAACGAAACATGCAACTCCCCGCTGATTATTCTGGGACCCGCTGGTATGCTTCCTCCACTAAGCGATGGCGCTGTTAACGAGATCATCTGCCAGCTGGAAGAAGGTGTCCCACTTGCGCCATATTTAGCTGATTCCCTCCCTGCCATCTGCATATTTTCCATATACCCAAGGCGCCTCAGAGAATTAGAGGTCCACGCGCCAAGCTTACACATGATATGCTGGTGGAGTTGTCATGTTAGCCTTGTGACAATATCGAGGGCGGCTAGAAAGTTGGATATGTCGCGAGAACATGTGAGTTGTCTATAGCCAAGTTCAATAAAATTCATAGAGATCTTTTGGAGACGGGAATCTGGGCATTCCTGGTGGAGTTAATCGTTGAATAATACTATACGCTCAAAGGAGTTATGTGTGTGCGCGCACAACGAGGAGCCGATTAGATGGAAATGATACTCGATCATGACCCACTACAAATAGAATTGAAAAACAATTCAACAGAATCTACTGCAACAGAATTTACTTCGACGTAGTGTACTTGAACAGTGTCCTCTAGCAGTCCTTCAGCAGGGTACTCCAACAAAGAGCACGGGAAGGTAAAAATAAAAGATACAGAAACAACCAAAACAAGGACATCGCCCACAAGGAGACTCATCAAAGGATATTAACGAAGCAAAAATGCAGAAAATAACTTTGATCAATTGAATACACGCTCACAAAACCCCAACAATAGATCTATAATCATACGTATGAATCAAAGCAAA